GGAAAGAGAAAGGGAATAAGGGAGAGAGACACTTATCAATTAGAAAAGTAAAGGTTTTAATGAAAATACTACTACTACTACTAATAATAAAATGGAATATATATAAATATATACAAAACTGGTATTGAACTCAACTCCTCCCCAACAGCAATATGTCACCATCACCCCTGAAGCTGGGGAGCAGCCCCCAGGGAAAAGTCCCAGGCTGGACTCAGCCAGACAGCAACTGGGTACAGGAGCTGGAGTCTGGAACTTGATTCAGGAACACAGCTCAGGATCAAAGCAGAATGGACAGAGTCTTCCTCAGATGCCAGCAAGTGAAGAAGCAGCAAGAGTGAACCAAGGAAGGGGCCTGACACTCATGATCCTTCAGATTTATACTGAATATGAGGGATATGGGATGGAATACCCCTCCCTGGTCAATTCAGGGTCACTTATCCTGTCTGCTCCTCTCTGCAGATGCAGCCTTTCCTTTCTGGCCCCCTCCATGTGCTACACAAACTTTAGCAGTGACCTTGGTCTGCACACCAAGCCTTGGTGGTAACTCTAGAACATGGAGCATTATCACTGCTAGAAGCAGACACTGCCTGCATGCAGCTGTTAACTTCAGAAAGTGCAGTTAATTAGCAGAGCTTTAGCTGAAAAGTAAAATCACTGAATTAGTTCTGGTCTACCCCAAACCAGGACACTGCATGAACCCCTGAAACAGGGCTGCAGGCAGCAGGTCCAGTGACCCTCTAGCAAGGACCAAGCCCTGTGGTGCCTGTGTCCCCACTGGTGTGCCTCTGCCCAGGTGCAATACCTGTTAATCTATCAGCCCCAGGTCTGTTCCCTTTAGCCCCTAGTTAACACCTGAAAGGCTCCTTGTGAAAGCTTTTTTACCTCATGCTGCACCTGATCCAATCCTTCTGCACAGACCCTTGTGTGGCCATTTCGGCCCTGACCCCCACTACCTGTTGGACACGGTGCTTTGTAAGCAAATAAAAGAGAGTGCAAAGTCTGAAGGGCAGAGATGTGCCAGTTTTGGTCCTCAGAAACAATCTTACAAGATTCCATACGAAGTCAGGTGAGCCGCAGAGCATTTGAGGTGGGAGCCATCAGCAGCACCCCTCCACAGTTAAATTCGGATTCCACCAACTGCCACGCTGTGATCTACATCACTTGAGAGCACATTTCTAAGTCAAGGGTTGAAATGGTTCACAAATACAATGGTAACTAATCAGCTGAGTTTAATAACACATTTAGAAAAAAAGCACTGAGAAGTTACTTGCCAGACACAGGTCAAAAACAGGTTTAACTGGACTAAAATCCAGGTCCCACTAAACAGGAAGATGTCAGTAACTTCCACAGACATTTTTTCTTTCCAGAGATTCTTAAACAAAAAGGACAGAGGATCTGGGGAAGCAAGGCTAGGGTTTACCTGTCAGTTAAAAAACTATTCACTGTCTTGCTCCACATGATCCACCCAGCAATATTTCTGCCCCCTCATTTTAATCAATTTCCCTCCTAGGAAAGGGGGAAAAACTTCACATTCTTCCATCAGAGCTGACTGCTGCCATTGACTCTCAGTCAAAGGCTTCTGGTTTTCACTTCTGTACTTGGCTTTAGTTTCCTGTTATTATTTTATTAAACTCAGTGTCACCTTTGGCCAGCCTGTGCCGGGAGAGGCTGCCAGGCCCACCCTCCCTTCCAGTTCTCCATGTGACCAGAACACGGGGCTGATGTACACAGCACACGAAACGTGGCTGGGAGTGGAGC